TTTCAGGAGACTTCTGGGAGCTGGGTTTGAAAGGAAAAAGAATCTCTCCTGGGAGTGGATGCCAGAAAATGGTCCTCTTCTCAGTGCAGCAACCTCAGTCCTTCACCCTTGTTTCCCATTTTATCCTTTGCTTCCATGCATGCAGCAGCAGCACACGTAAAGCTAATCACCCTTCCTTCCCCCTGGATCCTGGAACAAGCCACAGCCCAACAGCAAAACCACTAAAGAGCACACACAGTTCCCTCCCCTGGGAGACGAGAGAATGAACTGCACATGGTCTAAGCCATTGCTAAATCTTGGTACATAGCTGGAGGAACATATGCCAAAGGGTGAGCCTTAGATAAGAATCTACACAGCAAAGCTGAGAACAGGCAGGTTCCACTGTCACTGCCAAAAAACCACAAAATAGCCTCCCCTGTGATGAGGAACCCCCTCACCAAAAGAGATTCTGGGTTACAGGGAATCAGCCTGCCCAACTCACAAGCCACCTGCTCTGAAAGCTGTTCATGTAATGTACAAACATCTCTTAAGGCAGTAAAGGATTCAGGGTTCATAGTAAACACACGATGTACATCCACTTACTGGCACCTTATACAGGCTAAAGGCAGTCTGGAAAACAAGAAGGCAGAATGTGGAATTGACAGGTTTTCAAAAGATGACTTACACAATCAGCTCCTAATAGAGCAAACCAAATGTAAAGCTCCAGAGTTCAAATTTACTTAAAAAAAACTGAGTCTAAAACGCTCCCAAAATAAACAGCTTGAGTCCTACTTAACTGAGGAAGCCAGAAAGCTGAAATATGCGACTGTATCTGACTGGAGATAGTTTTACAAATTGCCTGAATGCAGTACAAGGGTCGGCAAGAACGCACAAGCCCTGAAAAGACTGAAATGCACCCCAGCAAAGGTAGCAGACAGCACACCATTGCTAAACTCCTCATGGCATTGAAACAGGGATCCTGGGAGAAAATTACAAGCTCAGCCCCATAAAGGGCTACTCACACAGCTTGGAGAGCAACTCCTGTGCAACCATTTATAAGCAGCAGAATGTGTTTTTTCTGGTAGGGCTCAGAGAGCGTTTCCAACATGGTGTAATTGCTTGCATGCTTATTGAAGAGGGGGACAAGGGCAGGAGCAGGGGGATTAAAAGTTTAAAAACATTCTGTTTACAACATTGTGCTGCTTTTCAAATGATGTTTTCTTACACGGCTCCAGTTTTAGGCACAACTACTGAGTTTCAGGCTAATGCAATACTGCTGCAAGTATCCCAGTGGAGAATCTGACTTCATATGCTATGGCATATATTGTTGGTGGCTCTGTTACTGCATTTTACAAGGTCATTTTTCTTGGTGTGGGAACACTGTTATTCTTGGTGTGCAAGGACTGCTATGGAAAAATTAGAAGTGAAGGGGATAAACTTCACGATGAAATATTTTCTCTCAGAATGAAAGCACAGATTTTAGAGCATCGTAAAGTATTAAAAATGTCTTCCAAAATTTATTTTCAAGCCTTCCCTTGGTTTTAGAACTATGTAAAAAGATAAAAATGTACCCAAGCTGCTTTTTTCCATCTCTTAATATAGCTTCATTTGCTCTTCTTCAGAAAAAAAAAATTGGTACTTCTTTATTTCATAAATATGCTCCAGAACAGCTTCTGGATGATAATTAAATTAGACCTAGTAGAATTCTCAGCAGAAAAAAATCTCCCCCTTCCCCATTTCTACTTTTTTTTTTTCCTATTGGAAGAGATGGAAGGAAGGGAATAAAATCTGACCAAGAAACACAAGGCTGATTCCCTCTCATAACTCAAGACTGTGAGCTGTTTTACAACTCCAGTGTGGATTTCCCATTTTGTGCTCATTTGCCCTGCCACAGTTCTAACAGCAGCATGAAACTGCAGCCACGCAGAGATCCAGCATCCACCACTGCAGCAGTGAACCAAGGGAGCCTGTGCTTGTACCTCACCCATCCCAAAGAGGAGCCCAGGATTATATTGGGATTTTCTCCTCACTGCTGCTCCTTCGCAGCCAGTCGCAGCAGCACAAGACAATCCCAGACATCTGGAATCTCTGGAGACACACACAGCATGGGGAAGGGCACCAAAGGGAAAAAGCAAGAGGGAGGAAAAAATAAATTGCTTAATTTTAGGGTGGAAGGGGTTTTTTTTTTTCTATATTTCCTTCATCTCTCAGTCTAATTAATTGCAGGGGTTAACCCAACTGAAAGACCAAAAGAAATCAAAACCTATCCTACAAAAATCTTCCTCCATTTGAAGGACCAAGAGATGGGAGAAAGAGAAGCTCTTCCTTCTGTTACTGAATCAGACTTCAAATGCTTACAAGTGTTTCAGACTATTTAAAAAAATTTAAATATTTTAAGATTACTAAGGATTCTTCCTGAATTCATTTTATGTAAAAAGGACCCAATTCTGACTACATCATTTGTGCAAACAGACTGCCTAAGTCCTAATAGACCATATCCTCTGCTTGACAATTGCCAGGGACTTTTGATACAAATTTGCCATGTCAAAAGACATCTATAAACAGCTGTTGCAAAGATTACTCTTTCCTGGATCTGCCACACTTCTTCAAATGAAATTTCATCAAATGCAACACCGATCTACTCACTTCTCATAATCACTCCTCTCCATAGACGTACCAGGACAGAAAAACCCTGAGAGATGTCTAAGTGCTAATATCAACAAGTCTGAGTTTGTGCAGTACTGATTCTCTTCCCTGTGAGTGCAGTGCATGAGGATTTTGCATTTACTTCAGCACGTGGCATGATACAGCCCAAAACCTGCCAAAATCAGAAGATGCCAGTGCAAACTTCTCATTGAGATTTACATTGTGATGCTCTGAATGGAAGCATCTGCCTGCTTAAGTGCAACTTTCTAAAGCAACAGAATCCAGCTAGCAACAGAATCCCTGGAAGCTGTAAAACCAGAAAATTGATAGACTTCCATCTGTTTAACCAATTGCTCTAATCAATATCCTTTCCCTCCGTAATGTTTTGTACAGACCTTGTCTCTCAAATACATAACTGCAGAATCAATGGAGTTGGGAAGTATATATGAATTTCAATTCTACAAATGGCAAAACATTATGAAAATATGAACTGCTAAAGCTATCACGGTGCTTAAAGGCACAGAGTTTATTAAGGTAATCTGTAAAACATCACCAAACAGAAAAAATTCTTGAAGTCAACAATCTACAGGTTTTCATGAGACAGCCAACTACAATGATAATAATCCAAGATAATTATCTGAAGATGATTTTCCTCATTTCACCCTAACCTTACAACAGTGCTCTAAAAGCAGCTCCTCAGGGAAATGGCATCACCCAGAGTTCCCACTTGCCCAGATGTTTCTCTCATTATGGTACAAGCCTGTCAAGAAAAGGCAAATTCAGGGTTATTCTAATGATAGCAAACACCTCATAAAAAACCTCTCCACATTTACTTTTCCAAGGAACATCATTTAAAAAGGCATTCCCAGTGCCCATGAGAAAAGAAGGCATCATTTATAAAACATCATTACCAGAAATATCGCAGATATTAAAAAAAACATCCTGGAATGTCAAGCTGGTGATAAAACTGCAGCGACAGCATGGTGGGGCCTTACCTGCAGTGCAGGGCTCAGCACTCCTCAGCAGGACTCCCACCAAGTCCAGCAGGAGGTTTTCTGAGTTAGGGGGACCTGACTCCAGGCTGTGACTGGAGCCTGCAGCTCTGGGTTCCCTCCTGTGGCTAGTGGGTTCATTTTGTGGACCACCAGCTGGGGATCCCGTGTATACAGTGACCAGCACAGCCTGCACTCTCCTCACTTCTCCTTGGCTTTTATCCTCTGCTGGTGCTGTGATTCTTACCCAGATGATGGATGGTTTACATAAATTTACAGTGATAATAATAATGACATTTTTCTGTCAGTTTATCGCATGACTTGTAGTTGATTTTATTTTATCACTTGGATGGAGGAAAAGAGAGCTTGCCAGGGGCACACGCAACTGACCAGAGATTTACAAGCTTTGCCTGCAGATATTGGTGATTCTGCAGCTTTGATCCCTGTCTCCAACCATTATAAATGAATGGCAACATGTCATACTGAATAAAAAGAATGACCTGCAAGAATACCAAAACAGAACCAAAAAAAAGTCCTTCACCTCTGTCGGACACAATACACAGTGGAGTTTCACGGGAGAAGTCTTTCAAAAGACTGGAATGGGCTAGCTGGGTCACAAGCACTGTCCTTCACATCACAAGCACTTATGACACTAAGTTTCTTGCCTATTTCAGAACTGAATGTCAGCCTGTTTCTTGATGCTTTCCAAGGAAAGCCATACACTCAGTCACAGTATTTCCCGAGACCATACACCTATCCCTTTCTCACACTAGGGAATCCTGTGCCCCCACGAAGGGATGCCCTGGCTGGGACATGCCGTGCCTGACACGGCTGCTTCCATCCCTCGCCTGTCCCACACGCTGCCCAGGTGCGCTGCGGGAACACGCGTGGGAGCCGCCCCGACGCCTCCCGCGTGGCATCGAAGCTCTGCCTTTGCCCCCGACAGCCTAAAGCCAAGGAGGGCGGGGGACACCTCGTAACCACCCCGGGAAAGCCCTCGGGCCGGGAAAGCCCTTGGGACGGGGAGCCCTCGGAGTCGGGACGGGCGGCGAGAGGAGGAGGAGGAGGAGGAGAAGGCGGACGGGGCAGGTGCACGGCGCCGGCTCCCGTCACCCCGGGCAGCCCCCGCTGCCCTGCCGCCCCCGACGGCCCCGGGGGACGCGGGACGGTGGTGGGGGAGGCGGGGCGGCACTCACCTGCCGCTGGCTGTGGTTGCCGGCAGCCGCGGGGGCGTGCGGCTCTCCGCCGCCGCGCAGCACGGTGATGTGCAAGGTGAGCAGCAGCAGCCCCAGCAGCAGCAGCAGCTCGGCCGCCAGCCGCACCATCCTCTTGAGCCGGGCGGCTTTAGGGCCCCGCGGCGGCGGCGGCGGGCGCGGAGGAGGCGGAGGTCGGGGCGGGATGCCGCGGCGGCGGCCAGAGTCCCGGCGCTGCCCGGCGGCGGGCGGCAGGTACCCGAGGCCGGCGGCGTCTCTGCGGGCAGCCCTGCAAGCCAGAGGCACCGCGGGCCGTCGGAAGGAGGGAGCGGGCGGCCGGAGCCCCGCCGCCTCGGGGAGCCGGCGGAGAGCAGCGGGTTTCGGCGGCCGGCGGGGACACGCTGCGAGGACGGGGGGAGCCGGCAGTGTGTGTGTGTGTGAGGGAGAGGGAGGAGGGAGGAGAGCGAGGCGGGGGGGTTGCCGGGGACGAGTCTCACATGGCGGGGAAGCCGGGACGCTCCGAGGGGAGGAGAGAGCTCGGGGCTATCGCCTCCCTCCGCGCAGGGATGGGGGTGGCCCCTGAACCAGCTTCCCCCGCCGCCGCCGTGTCCTCGCCCGCCCCGCTGCTCCCCCCTCCTCTCCCGACGCCCGTCGAGGCGTCTCCCTGCCCTGCCCTGCCCTGCCCTGCCCCTTCCCTCTCGGTGCGGCGGGGACGGCGCGACCCCCGCCGGCTCCCAGCCCTCGAGCTCCCCGAAGAAAAAGAGGGGCAGATTGCAGCTTCCCTCTCCCGTCCCCCTTCCTCTTCCTCCCCCCTCTCTACCCCCTGGCTCAGCCGTGGGGAATGGGATAGGGGGCAGATGTCGAGGGGCTGCAAAAAGCTTCAGCTGCCCGCTGCCCTCCCGGGGAGCTGGATACCTGGCTCCATCTCTCCTCTCTCTTCCCTCCAGTGCCCGAGGGCTGGCAGGGGTAGCGCCACACTCTCTCCTGCCACCGTGCGTGCGTGTTTGCAAGCGGCTGCCGCTCCTCCTGGCTGCTGCTGCTGCTGCTGCCAGACCCACTTTCTCGCCCCCTCGCTCTGTGTCGGGAGAGGTACGTGTCGGATGCTTTTATACTGCCCTGCCTCCTTCCCCTGCTCCCCCCCCTTTTCCTTCGGCCTCTCTGCAGCTCCTGCTCCCCTCCTCCCCGTGCCGACCTGCTCCTCTCCGTGCCCTGCTTTGCCAGGACACCCCACGGCTGCACCCGCACCCCTTCCTACACACGGCTGCACCTTGCATCCCGACTGCATCTCTGCTCGGCTGGGATGGATCTGCCCTGGAGTGAGCGACACATCCCTTCCAGCTGGTCTGTGCGTCCCTAGTGGGACTCCACCGCGTTTGACACTCCTTACTCTTCCTCTGGGTTGCTGGCCTGTGTCAGTACTCTGGAAAAACCTTTCTCTCTCTGATGGGAGGCCCTCAAATTTAAAAGTAATGTGGACTTGAGAATGTGTGAAAATGAGGGTTGGATTTTCACTTGCTACAAGTCAATATCTCAGTGTCCAGTCTGAGGGAGCTGGACCTCTTTGTGGGTGCTCAAGGTGCAGCTCAAGAACAAACACAGCTCAAATCAACTTGAAGCATAAATAAAGTAACCAAAAATGGGAGTTTTGAAATCTTTGTTGTTGTTCTTGTGCAATCGGTAATGTTATGTGTGAAAACGAGGATACGAACAATCTGTGAGTGTGTGACAGCTGAGAGGCTGAATTGGTCTAAAATGCCTAAATTGGGGAAGAAGTATCCCCCAGTCTGAAACGTTTTCATCTGGAGATCAGTGTCCTCAGCAGGGTTTCCTGCAAGGTAAGGGTGAGATATTCTCCCAGTGTGCAGCACCAGCTGGGAGAAGGCACATCATGAGAGCCTTAGCCCACACTGTGCCCTGGAAAACTGGCACTTTTGGGGCATGGGGAGAATCAGAGCTCCACGGAGGTTCCTTGCACGTCTTGGAGCATCTGAAGGCTGTGGTCATGAGTGAGTCAGAATGATGTCTTGTACTCTTCCAGTGATAACCACTGTCAATGATTGCACAGGAATCAGGCAAGAATATAGTTAATGTAATTGCACTGGGGTATCATTAAAGATGTGACCAAAAGCCACAAGCCCCAAACCTTCCTATTTAAGGATTTTAAAATCCACAAACATATTCCGTGTTAGCACTGCAGTAGGAATGATCAGCACAGATGCTTGTGCAGGGTAGGGACTCCCATGGGTCTGCCCTGAGTGTGTCAGAGGTACAGCTCCCATCTCATGACATCACTTGTTGAAGATTACCCGATGCTCTTGGATCATACAGAGCTATTAAATACTGCATAAAGCCGTATGGGGGACTGTGGGACTGTCACATGGCTTTTAAAAAATGTGGTGCCGCTTTTTTTTTTTTTTTTTAACCCAAACATTCCTTGGGCTAATCAAAATATTGAGAAGATAAAAACACTGATTGTACTTCAGTTGTCATTGCTCGGCCTTGGCTCTCCTCCTGCCACCCTTGCTGCGATCCTGGTGGCCCTGGGCAGAAGCAGGGCAGCTACAGGAGGCAGGCTTGGCAGCCAAGAGGCACGAGTGTCCTCCAGGTTTGCTAAAGTCTGACCATACGTAGTGGCTGTCAGTGGATCCTGGCTGTTGAAGAAAAGTGGAAACTTGGCACATGAGCTCCGTATTTCAGAGCTTAATAGTACCAGTCGACAGCCAGAGCAAGACTGAGGGCTCGTAATGCGAAACAGTCAGAGTGACAGTCTGGTTTGAAACGCACACATGGATCTGCTGCCGAGCTCTGGGTAATGCAAGTTCTCCCTTGCCTTATGAAACTGAACCAAAAGACATCTTTAATCCAGATGAGATGGGCCCGTACTGGTGTGCATCTCCTCGTGGCACATCAGCGCCTTGAGCTGTGTGCAAAGCTAGGGAGGGACAGAGCAGTGCTGCTCTCAGCTGCAGGCTGATGGCAGTGAGGAACCAAAGCCTCTTCCCACTGGAAAAAGTTGGTGTAAAAATGGCACTTGGGAATGGCACTGCTGCCTGTGAGGCTGTCTGGGGCAGCGAGGCAGGAGTGGGCACACACATGATTTGGAGATGCCCCTTTAAATTCACAAACACTCTTCAGTCAGCAGATGACTTCATCGATGAGTCCAGACAGCTGAATCAAGACCTGGAAGGGAGATGGATTTAAAAGCAAAGGGGAAAAGTTCTCTTGCTCAAGCAGCCACCATTTAGTCCCTGGAAGATGAAGTCAGGGTTCACTGAGGAGGAGGAGACCATAGCTAGCCTGAGGGGGATACTGCTCAGGGGTGTGGCTGTGGGCACTCAACAGGGAGGTGGATCAGCAAGTGGGTCTGACAGTGGTGCTGGGATAAGAGAGGTGTGTTCCTGTGATAGCTCCCTGTAAAGGTTCACAGCTCACACCTCACCCCTCCACCTCCAGCTTTTACCTTCCATTTCTCTTCCCTCCAATGATAAAGGCAGACTCGGCTCCTGTGCGCTCCCAGCTTCTTGCCAGTGCAAGGGAAAATATCAAGAGCCATTGGGAAAAGAGCCCAAGCTCTTTGATGAGCACCACAGTGCCCAGTGCCCAGTCAGGTGGTGTAGCCCAGCTCATGTGGTGGCAGTCAGTAAGCTCTGGGATGTCCTCTAACACCCTGCCTCTCACACACCTCACAGGTCCCACGCTCCTCGTTGTGCAGCTTCAAGAGCAAGTATTGTCTGTCCATGTTGCAGCCTCCACCATGGGGAAAGGACTCTCTCCTGGGAGGTGTTTCGGGAGCCTGTTGGTTACAGCTATGACATTGCCAGAGGAAGGGCCCAGAGTCTCACACCAGCCTGCCAACAAAAATGCCACTGTACCACCTTCAGTGCTCCAGGCCAACAAACTTTGTCCAGGGCTGAATTTGTCATGTCCTTGCTGACATGTCCTGATGGTGATGCTCCTGTCTCCTGTCTTAGCTGTCACAGCTTATCACCCCACGTACTGTCCACCACACTGCCGGGGGCAACCCCTCTTCATCGCTGTGCAGGCACCCACACTTGGTGTTGAGTCCTGAAAACCAAAGTATTGCCTGAGACACAGGACACTGCAGAGGCTGGGTGGTCCTAGGGACTGAAATGAACATTTTGGTTCGTTTCATTGATTGTACCTGGTTAAGTGTGAAAAATCCTCACTTTGGATGAGTGCCACCAAATGAAAACATTCAAGGCCAAAATGAAAATCACTGGATAAGAAGGGGAGAGAAAAAAAATCAGTATCATATAATATTAACCAACATAACTCACTTTATATGCTTTATCTCAGAAATGAGAAGGACTACTGGGTTTTATATCACAGTATCAAGACTCACTGGGGTCCTACACTGAAGCAGTCCCAGCAATTAAAAATTATTGGTGTTTACCTGGTTGTCCACTTTACCCCTTTATTGTTCATCCTGGCATTGCTCCAGGACTGTGAAGGCATCCTGTCTGTAAGATCTGACAGCTTTCCAGAGAAGCATTGCTGCTCCTCAGCCTGCACCCACTCCCAGGATGCCGTCGTTTCATCTTTAAGCCTAGGGGTTGCTTTAAATTTATCAGGGATGAAAACCTGGCTCCACTGAAGTCGTTGGCAAAGCTCCCATTGACTTCAGAGGAGCCAGGATTTCACCCTAAGATGCTTTGTAGATTATTGGTGAATGGAAAGCATACGTCTGGCTTCTCCAGGGTTATTATTGTTGGTGGTGACCTCTGCTCTGGCAAGCATTGAGCAAGGCTGGGTTGAGACAGATGCTTAAAGCTTTCCCTACCTCTTCCCCTGCTTCCTCACAGGGGCTTTGCTTTATGGCTCATCATTTTGGATGCTGCTTATCAAGGAATACCTTCCCCGTCGCCTGCCAGTGGAATTTAATGCCTGTTTGCCCACATTCCCCTTCCCCCAGCACCAGCAGATCAGCAGATAGGAGACAGAATGGCTGATTAGCTTTCTAGCCCCAACCTCTTAGCTATAAGCTGCAAATGCACACACAAGTGTCTTCTCTCAAAAAAAGAAAAAAAAAAAAAAGAAGAAAAGGAAAGAAAAAAGAATAACATTGCCTTGCAGGCAACCTAAGTCTTTCTGTGACTCATGGTTCCTTTATCTCAATAAATTACTCCTTGAATAGTAACCACCCTCTTTTTAAGAGAACGGATTAGCTTGGAGTTCTCAATTTTCCTGCTTCTCCTAGACTGGTGCTTTTCTTCCTGTCTACATATTTTGCCACCAGCTGGGGTCAAGATTTCTGAATTCTGCAGTGCCTGTATGACAGGCTGGAAATTCAGCAGCCACTTTATTAAAAGTTGAAGCCAAACCGGAAATGTATAACAAGTCTGGATTATGGAATATGGAAATGGAGAAAACAGAAAAAAACAATGCAGTCCAGTTTCCCAACAGCTAGGTTGGGTTTTTTAATACCCAATTCTCTTTATTTTACACTCTGCCACATTTTCACTTTTCAATATGCTGCTCATTTTTGTACTGATGATGTGCAACTGCACTGGAGCATTTGCCAAGCTGTGGCAGTATGGGACTGTGGGAACCAGCATGCCAGGCAAGGTTTTTCAGAAGTGCCCAAAGACTCCAAATTCTGCTGACTTTCATGAGAGCTTGCCACAAGGCAAATTTGCCTCTTTGGAGAAATGCAGTGAAACCAGCAAATGCCTTTCCTCTGAAGAGAGTTTTAGCACTGCAAAAGTGCCTGGGTTGGTGCAGTGAAGCTGAGTGTTTCAAACAGAGGAAAGGCTCCCACTCTGGATTGATTTACCTTTGTTCCCTGGTGGTTTTCTGGCAGCAGTGACCCATGTGGCAGAGATGGCCCCTGGCCCAGAGCAGGGAGGCAGCTCCCTGTTTTGGCAGCAGTGAGCCATTAGATTGGCTTATCCACTAACTTGACTCAGCCAAATTTATCACTAAATTCAAATTATTACATAGAGCAAATAAGGCTGCAGCTCACCCTGTGTGCACACAGGCTGTCTGTGGGTGCACAGCAGTACCCAAACAGGTCTGGTGGGTGCTAAATACAGAGGAAGGAGCTGATCCTGGCATAGCTGGCAGCTGAAAAAGATGTAAATTACCCTAAGGTATTGTTTGACTAAGGCTTGAATTTCTTGATTGCTTCTGACAGGTCTTATCCTATGTCCAGCAGTGTAGCAGCCAGTGTTTTTGAGAGTTAAAAAAAAAAAAAAAAAGAAAGAAACAGAGCTATTCATACCTTCTGCACCTATGGTTTTCAACTCTTCACTTCTGCAGAGAAAATACCACATTATTGGCTTGCAATTGGCTTTTTTCAAGACAGCTTTTATGTCCCTGGAGATCAGAAACTTATTAACAATAATAACAACAAAAACATCAATAACAATAGCAATAGCAATAACATCAACAGCAAAAATAATAATAGAAACATAAGACCAATTCAGGCTGAAGGACAACTCTGCAGCAGGAAAGGGAAAGGAGGGTTTCATAGTGAATCCTGTGATGGTGGGTGAGATGAAGGCCTGTCTCCTAAAAGAAGTGTTTACCTGTGTCCATTGCAGGAAGACCTTCATTCCCAGAGGTGAAGAAAATAGAGCTCATTTCTGAATCACTTCAGGTTTTAAGTGTCATCTTGTTTCATCTGGGTGATTTTACACACCTGTAGCACAGCCTGTGCAGAGGGACTTGAACTCCTGTTAGTGAGTTGCTGCACTGGCACAGCTAAGGGTCTGCCTAATCTAGTTATTCCTCCTGGAAAGGGGACCAAGGTGATTCATTTTATTGGTTTTGCTCAGTCAGTTCCTCTGCTTGGTATTCAACACTTGTGTTTCCTAATATCTTTGTGCAGTGCTTTGTCAAGTCAAAATTATGCCACATCAGTGAAATATTTGGTTTTGAAACCTGCATATTCTAATACTCCAGTAATTAAATACTGGAATGCTGAATTTACACTGAAGTTTCTCAGCCCAATTTGGAGCCAGTGCTTTACGAACCAAACAGTACTAATAATAAACACTCTCTTCTGTAAAGCAAAAGTTTTCAGGTAAGCACTGCATACCACAAGCTGATGTAGGAGGAAAAATGCCACAATCCTGTCATTAGAGAAGAACTTTGTTCAACAAAGGTAGCAGAAACATGGAGAGTGAGGGCAGCTTCTTTCCCTGCCATTTGCCTCTTTCTCTGAGGGCCATTGACAAATGCTGTATTCCCTGCAGGGACATCTGGACGATCTATCTGTGACTGGTCTTTTAAAACACACACTTTTCTGAAATGCAGGGAAAAAGCTTTTATGGGAAGTAAATCTTTGTTCTGTAGGGATTGTGACAACGTGCCCAGTAAAGGCCTTTGGCTGTAAGAAACACCAAGAATAGGCTCAGAGTTGCTACAGCAAGTGAAGAAATAATTTAAATTACCAAATGTGTTTAATGCTTTTTATTAAGTTGCTGAGGTGTCAAATTAATTCCTCCTGGACTAAGGATGGGATGGATTGATTGGGTTGGATTAGGTGCTCCTTCCAGCAGGGCTGAAGTGCAGGCTGTTTCTGTGGCCTCCCTTAGGGCAGTATTTCTCACAGCAGTGCCCATGTTTGTGATACCTCAGTACCTAAAATAATAATCACAACACTAAACAGTGAGGGACTCCCTGGGGAATGTCCCGGCTAGGAGAGGACAGGAATAACTGGGGAATGTGGAGGATGACTTTATGTCAAATAAGGCAACAGAGAAAGAAAACAGAATCTGGGACCTCTCATGTAAAGTATTTAATTCTAAGAAAACCATTCTCTGCTACCCGACTGCCAGTGTGCTGTCTGGCAAACAAATGTGCACATTGCTGGTGCTGTCAGGCTCGGTTTGGATAGCAACAGCTTCACCTACTGTCCACAGTGCAATGGTGGAAGTCTGAGTGGGTCTGAACGAGATGGTCAGAGCACAGAGAGAAGCTGCAGAAAGCTCCAGAGAGCCTCTGCAGAAACCTGATTGCTGCATGCCAGTGAATAGCAGGCAGGGAGCACAGACACTCACCAGGCACTGGGGAAATCACACAAACATCTCTCCTGGTCCTGCCGGAGCAGATGTTCTTGGCAAAGTGCTGTGGTTGGATGGAGACACCGGTCTGGGCTGGCTGGAGTCTCCTCGGGAGGGGACAGAATGGTTTGCATGCGCGGCACTTTGGTACCTGCAACTGAGGCGATCACTGCAGATCAAAGCAGGTGTTTATTCGAGGCAGCTGGCCTGTCTAGAGGAGATTTTCACTCCTCTGGTGCCCTGAAGACAACAGCAAGTGTGAAACACAACCGTGGAGAAAGCAATACCTGGAGCTCCACCTTGCTGACACAGACAGTTACTTGCTGCTAATGAGCAACCAAGATTTTCCTTCTCTATCCATCAGTAACATCCTTCTGCAGCTGTAATTGGCTTCAGGAGGTGATGCAATGCTACACAAATCCTCACGGGAGGGTTTGAAAGACTGGTACAGAAAAGGGGCACACATCACTGTAAACAGCACAGCTCCCTCTGATCAAACCTTTATAAAGTTGTTAAATTTATGCAGTTACATAACACTTTATGCATTTCCTTATACATAATGCCACTCTTTCAAAATGTGACATGTGTGGGCTTATTGTTGCTGCTGAAGCTGCTGGTGTTTTTTTCTGGATAGCCAACCAGTCTGTCCAGCTGGCAGAGCAGTTGGGCCAGCTTCTTGCAGTTTCAGTTCCAGAGTCACCTTTTCACAAGATTGAAAACTCTGAGGCAGTTTCTAGCCCTAGACCCACAAAGCAGGTTGTTGATAAGATTGTTGGCTCAAGAAAATAGGAAATTTGTGGCTGGGCCCACTATAAAAGGAAATTATTTTCCATGATTTACAAATAAATGAACTTCAGTGCAGGCAGGATCAGACCCTGTGTATGAAGAATTTTTTTACTGTATATGGAGATACATACAGTATGAGACATATAAGTGGAGAGATCTTTTTTTAAACAAGAAACTACTTGAAACAGAATGAGAAAGGGAAAGCAAATTAACCCATTTTTGACTTCTGTTCTTAAACTCAAGTAGCTTTTTAGTAGATCCCCGGGGGAGTTCTTCTGTAAAATGCTACAATTTACAAGTGGGTTTAACTACAACATGTTGCTTTTCAACCACAGACAGACAGGAAAAGATCCAAT